GAAAGCTGTGGAAAAGAGCAAGCCCTGCAGCAAGTATCCTGCAGTATCACCCTACACCTGCTCCTGCTTTTGGTGAAGCATTTTTAGCTGAGCCTTCCAAAACCAAGAGGGCTGTGCAGATCTGCAGCRTGCCTCAGCACAGTTGGGTCCAATGCCTCCAGGCAGCACGGAAATAAAATGGCATATGTTGGGGGATACTGAGCAATGGATGGATTAAACACTTCCCCAATGAAATATTTTCTTTTCACCTTCGTTTTCTAGGTCTATTTAATAATAGAGGAGTTTGAGAAGTAAGGAGTATGTTCTGGAACAACTGATTGATACATCTGCCTCTCCTTGAATCAGCCCAGTTGTGCACTAGGTTTCATTTGTATATATACCCGGAAAGTCACAATTCTGTGTACTATTTAATCTGGTAGAAAATGTTATACATTGCTTCCTACTGTTTTCCAATGCTCTTAGCATCTGTCACTTGTATATCAAATTAGTTGAGAGATAGCTGATACCCTGTTTGTGCTAGTAACAAAGTCTGGTAACCGCAGGAATGTTTAGATGAGGTTGCTGCTAGCAGACATCTGGTAATGCCTTTCTGGTCACTGTAAAAAGAACTTTTGCCTTTCAGCTAAGCCAATGTGTCTGTAGCCTTAGGGCAAGTTTGAACTGTCACGGAAATCAGGGAGAAGAAAGTAAACAAGTTATTGATGGGAAGGACCAGCTGGCAGCATTTGGTCTCCCTGTGACGCTGGTCCTGGGGATGTGGGAAGTGAGTTGTTCTGTGAGGCTGCCCCGTGAGACCAGTCACATGCCCTCGAAGGGGAGAAGAAATACAGTAAAGGAGGAATGGGGCTTCTAGGCACTTCTCTGAGGGTCTGCTGGCTGYTGAGGGAAAAGGGTGAACCAAAGAGAAGAAAAAAATCACCAGGCTCTCAAAACTCTGGGTGCCTTCTGCTCCTTGGGCTTTTTGGAGAGAGATTAAAGATGCTGAGGTCTCATCATCTTTAGTTCTAATGAGGATGTCTTCCTCCCGAGGAGGCAGTAAGCTGAGTCTTAGGGAGTGTTATAGATYACAAATAACTTAATGCACCAAAATGCCATGACTGGAGGATATTTTGGGCAGTAATAGGTCAGGATGGAAATTGCAGGCACTGGGAAATYTGTGATCCTGAAAAATTTTTACAGGGCCTGCAAAAAATGCTAGAAGCAGCTATAATTGATTAAGGTAACATTTAAGGGGGAGGTTTCTGTAAATGCTGGCAAGGGACAATTTGAACAGGACCTGAATACAATTTAGCAGCAAAAACCTCAGGACTAATACAGCTCTGGCACAAGTATCAAAAACGGCAGGAAGGAGGACATCGTTTACACAGTCAAATTTGGATCAGTTAAATCTTCATACAGTGCTTTGGAGTTTTAATTAGAATGTGTGGTGTTAATGCAGTACCTAGTGTCCTGAATGGTCTAAATCCTTGGGCAGAAAATGGAATTGCATGTCTGAAGGAAAAAGGGAAGACGTCTTATTTATGGCACATACAAAATAGTGTGCAGAGTCAAGTCACTTCCACATTATCTAATAAATTAAGAAATGGAGTTGGGCCCACCTTCTGCTCACTTTGGGCTGTAAAGGTGCAATTCAGGCTGCAGGCTGCAAGTTCTGCTTGCAGTATTTGTGACAGTTAAGTGTGTGCCCTGCTGCCTGGTCTTCTCTTGGTGGCTTCTGACCTTTTTTGTTGTGTTTTGCATACCTGTGGAGTATGTTGATTTATTCAGATTGAAATCTGCTTGAAGAAGGCAATGTCTTACTATAGGCCATAGCACAACAGAGGTTCCAGCTGTGGCAAGTTCTTGAGGAGCTGCTGTGCTACTGTGAATGCATTTGTTTGTATGGGTCTGCTTTTGCACTTGATAAATAAGCTGTGCAAGGAGAGAGTTTTCTAGAWGCAAGAAATTCTCTGAGAGCTTCCTTAATAGAAAAAAAACCCATACAAGTTGGCACTGCATCTGAGCCCTTTACAACAGTTTAATTCACACCCTGTCTCCAAATGTAAATTGATCCAGATTGGGAAATGTTGGAATTCTGAAGCAATGTGTGTGATTTGGTACTAGTCTAGTGTGAGGAAGAAAGAATAAAAGGAAATACCAAATTCTTGTGTGATATTAAGGCATTTTTTCAAGGTTTCCTAGTCTAGCAACTAGCAGTGTTGCCAACCCCAAATATTCAGTACCCCCCCCAAGTCTGACCCCAAAATTCCACCATCAGACCTGCTGAAAAATCTTGATTCCTTTTTATTTGTGTTTTCTAGTGTTCACAACTTTAGGGTTCACATTTCCATCTTTTCTTCATAATCAGAAAGGCAAAAATTATAATGAAACCAAAGCAAAGTGGAACTGGCTTGAAATTATGACAACAGAACATGGGTTTTTAGGAAAAAATTATCTCATTAGGTTCTTAATAAAAGCAATATGGTAGAAAAATCTCATTCTTGCTAAAAAGACCTTGCAATCTGTATACAGGACAACACAGACATACAGACATAGTCCGGTTTGGAAATGCTGCGTTCAGTTTTCAGTGATGTTCTCCAATGAGGTTGCAATCTTTTGAAAAAAATCCATTGTAATGTTGGCTCTTAAAAATGGCAACTTCTCATTAGAATCACAGAGAATGACAGAATGGTTGAGGTTGGAAGGGACCTCTAGAGATCATCTAGTCCAACCCCCCTGCTCCAGCAGGGACACCCAGAGCACGGAGCACAGGGCGGCATCCAGGCGGGTTTGGAAGATCCCCAGAGAAGGAGACTCCACAACCTCCCTGGGCAGCCTGTGCCAGGGCTCTGGCACCCTCACAGTGAAGAAGTTTTTCCTCACATGGAGATGGAACTTTATTTTAATTTATACCTGTTACCCCTTGTCCTGTCACTGGCCACAGTGAAAGGCTGGCATCCTGCAGTTAGCAATATGGGTGGCAGGGCGCTCACACGAAAGCTGCGTTAGCAGAAGCTTCCTCTGCTTCTGCTGTTGCTGTCTGCACCTCACTCCTACCCGTTTTCTTTTGAAAATATGGTTGGATCAGGCTCCGAAGCCGAGAGTCAGCTGGGGAGTCTGTACATGCTTAAACAGGCGATGCAAACGAGCTCAAAGGGATTTTGCTTCTATAATTTACCACTTCACAAAAGCACAGCATAGTAAGCAGTCCTGATTCACTGTGGCTACAAAAGAAGTAAAGTGTTAAAGATGATAAAACTCTGCAGTCCCTTCAGTAAGATAGCCCCACTGCATGTAAACATACAAAACTGACTTCCACGTAACTATGCTGCATAGTCTGAATTGCCCATCATTTTGGAGCACTCTGGAAGGTCATTCAGAATTGTGTAATGTGCCTGTGTTCTTTGGTGCCACTGCTGTGTGGACTCTTACTTCTGCAATTACTTGTGTTCCTAAATTCCTGTCTAGTTCCCTGGGTTTCTTGTGGTCAAGAAGATATTAAAGGTCCATATACAGGAAGCAAGAACTTCTTTATCTTTTCCATCCCAAGGACAACACATATGATGCAGTTCCCCTGTCTGAAAACATTACACAGGTTTTTCTGCTGGCTTTTCTGATGGCATGAAGCTGGATGACCAATAAGGGAACAAGAATTAAAACCATCAGAGAGTCCAAAACAACAATCAAGAGATTCACAACCTTCATTCCTAGCATTTCTGCAGCCATTCTAAAGAACATCTGATCATACTTCTTTTGGGGAGAGGAATGGGGCACTAGTTGGAACATGTGAGAGGACTTTCTCTTTCAATCTTAGAATTTATGAATTCGAAAGTAAGTCATATTTTTGTAGATCTTAGAGGTTTTTAGGGTGGTGCAATTACCATTGTAACAACAACATCCCCAAATGAATTAAAGGGGACCCACAGATTCTGAGGTATTATTCTGCCCATGTCAGACACATTGTTTTATTGGAAAAGGGGTTATCATCACTCACTGAGAATTTTGGAAGGTGAAGTTATTTGCAGTGTGATGAGAAAAAACACCAAACGAAAAAATGATGGGTCTCTCTTTCCCTCTGTTTCCTATCAGGAGATACATAGCCCTGCTTGAGAAACTTTCCAGCTCACTTTTCTCTTCCAGCCCTAATAAGCCACTAGCACTTGAGAAGTTATTAGCACTTGAAGAATTCCTTTATGCGGCCTGATGTGCTGTCCTTGTCTTGATGTGCTGTCTCTGATGCTGCAGGCACGTTGAACAGCAAGCAGCTTACATGGATATGTTAGATTCCCCAAGTCTGGATCTATATCCCCAGGTCTGGTTTTGAATTCAGAGTCCTCCATGTGCAAGATTACATGACAGGGAATGCGAGAGAACAACTAAGGACTGATCCTTTCTCTGACAGTGCAGTGGCTTCAGACACTGCAGCACGACCAAGAGAGTGTCCTGTGGGATTCCCAGACTTTCCGCACTGCCCTACACCCATTTCCCGAGATCACATCTTTCACCATTCTTTACCTCCACATGACACTAGATTTTACAAGCAGCTTCACTAGGAAGCTGTTAACAGGCATGGGTTAAAATATATTTAAATTTTCCAGTGTGATGGATTCCTAAATTAAGAAAGATGTTTGCTTCAGCATTTGACCTTAAAATTGAATTATAAGAGTGTGCAGAAGATTAACTAGTTTGGGGACTTGGTTTCATTTATCAAGCAGATCAAGATTAGATTCAGACTTCATCATTGTTCACACTCGGATCCAGAGTTATCAGAAGTTAATGAACACTGATAAGAACCAAAGGAATTAATTTGCATTGGAATTAGTAGAAACACTAAAAAAGAGATTAATGGCACTTAAGCCTTGCAATCACAATGATTACCTCTATCCTAGTAAATTAAACAAGGCCAGGGAACATTTTTGGGTGCTAGATGTGTGCTGTCAGCACTGCTGCATCTCTGGAACAGTTCCTCCTCCTGGAGCAACCAGGACTCTCCCAGGCAGCACCGCTCAGGAGTCAGCCCAGGCATGGGGATACTCCTATCGCAGTATGAGACCTCAGCATCACTGACCTGGCCCACACCACCCCACTGTCAGAGAACATGTTGGTTGTTTAGTTTAGTTGGTTTCTCTTTCCTTTTTAAAATATATCTTCCACCCCCACTTTACCATCTCTTATGTTTTCCCTTCCTTTGTCTCCCTCCATCTTCTTCTTGAATCTTGCACTCTGCTTTTGGCTCTTACCTCTATTTCCTTCTTCTTTTCTCCTTCAGGAATCTTCCTTTCCAGTTGTAGCAAAGTAATGTTTTATTTATTTTCTTCTTTAATATCTTAAGAAGGGCTGGTAAAGAGCATGCCAATGAATTTGGCAGCAAACACTAATTTGGGAGGTATTACAGAGGTCATCATGAGATAAATAAACCTAGAGAAATCAATGTACAGAGAGAAAAAAAATGAAATGAGATCTCAGGAAAAATATCTGTAGAAAAACAATCCAATTCAACAGCTATTTCTTAGGAGAGAAAAATGTGGAGAGATAGGCATGTAAGTGCTGTTTGTATCAGCTGGCTTCTGTTGTTTTTAACTCCGAACGCACTCGTGTGCTTTCTTGTGTGCTGGGTGCTGGTTGAATTTTTTCAGGGAATGGATCACAAATTCTTCAAGAGATAAACTGTTTTCTACTCTATATTTGAACACTTTCTACCGAGAACAAAGATCTCAACTAATGACACTAGATTGTTGTAATATGGTATAATAATAATTAGTGTGGCAGTCTACTGTTTTCGCAAGAGCCACTGTATTCTTGAGATGGATGTTTAGAGGAATCAAAGACCAGAGACAAATGGTACTTGTTGGCTATGATACTAAGCTCTGATGTTGAAATCTGGGCACTTTATTACTGAAAACTCTGTCAAACAAAGAGAATTCAGATTAAAAAAGAAATATTACTGAGTTAGAAGGGAAGGCTTATGAGGAGTATACTATTTTCACTGCAGTTTGGCTTACTGTGAGGGAGGACATAACCTGGGCAGTGGATAAAAATGCAGTTTTATCAACACTTCTGAGATCTATTTTGGGGCTAAATAGGAATGTGACCTGAAATTCTTGAAATTCCCTAAAAGAAACTACTTTCTTTTAAAAGAAACCTTTAAAGCTCACATCCTACAGTTATTAAGAAAAAGCCTATAAACTAGTGATGGTGACACTTTCATTGTCTAGTGCTGAATTTATTTTTAAACATTGTACCTCATCTTCACCAGTGGGTTCCAGTCTCAGTCCTGGTGCCATCGCTTTGCTGCTGCAAACATAAAGCCACACATAAAGTTAACTACAGACTACCAGCAGTATCAGAGAACTTTATATCAATTACTTATTCATGCAAGGAAGGAAAGAAATTTTTCTGAGTGATTAATCAGGTATCACAAGTTTTAATAGCCTAATATAATGAGACAATTTAAGAGAAGAATGAGAGAACTTTCCATATAGAGAATGTACCTGGGTGTTCTCCTAAGCTAACAGATGACAGGTTGGAGTGTCCTTCTCTGGAGATCTTCCAAACCCACCTGGATGCCGCCCTGTGCCAGTGCTCTGGGTGTCCCTGCTGGAGCAGGAAGGTTGGACTAGATGATCTCTAGAGGTCCCTTCCACCCTCAACCATTCTGTGATTCTGTGAGATTCTGTGTGACACCAGTTGCGACGTTCTGCCCTGTTTGGAGATGAGGACCAGCATGGGGACCCTAAAGACCATGTGCGCTCTCACACTCAGGTGGCTTCAGCAGATGACCCAATTTGTGCTGTTCTTTCTCACTCTGATTTTAGATATTGCATGCCTTTACTCAAAGGCYGCATTCACACAATGTTACGAGGGAAACAAGCACATGCTCAGGAGCTTTTAAATTGGGAGGAAATTAGCACCAGTGCTGTTGTAAAAGGAAAAAAAAAAAAGATGAAAAAATTTGGAATGGAATAGATACTGCCATTCAGAAAGATTTTATCAGCAGCTATTGAATTGCCTATCCATTTTTGGCACATTAGAGAAATATAATTTGTTTCCTCTATCCTTAGCTTTAAAACAAAACACTGTGTACATTACAATATCTTGGATAAACTAGTAAAATGGTAATGATGCAATTCATAAATTGGAAAAATATTCTCGTCACAACAATAATTTGTTCTGATTCAGATAAGGGCTCTTGTTATGTCCATCGAGTGTTACCCTCTGCTGCTTAGCCCTGTAAAGGTGCTCTCTGGAAATGAGAGATTGATTGAGCTGGCARATGCTGTAAACGGGGCATTCAGATGACATTGTCCTTTTTACTGACTTTCAGAAGGATTTAATTCCTTGCAAGTTTAAAAGWGATTTTAGAGACTTATAAGCCATGGCTCCAATATTACAAATGTAGGCATGCTTAAAAAGTGAATCATCTTTGAATGTTTTTTGCATATCAGTTGGACATTTTGCTGRGACTGAGCATTTTATGTGCAGTTTCTCATATACTGAGGAACTGCGCATGAAATGCAGTTGAAATGCATGAAATGCATGAAATCACTTCACCCACCATCCACCAACCCCTGTGTGGCCACTACAGAACGGTGCAGATTTGATGTCGAAGTGGGACGGTGCTGGTTATCTAACAGGATGAGCAAGAGCATTTGGACGGAGAACGCTGGTGTGTATTGTATGCAGCACACRGAGTGGCAGCACACTGATGAAAATAATAATACTGAGTAAATCTAGAGATTAAATGATGTGTTGATAATTTAGACAGACAGATTTATCTCTTCAGAGTTTCTGAATCTTAGCTAGATTAATAATACTTACTGCCTGCTTCCATAGACCAAATAGGTCTTTTGCTGCTGTTGCTAAGGCCCGATTGCCTACATTCCTTTCCCTGGTATTTTACCCACTGATGGTAATTCACATCAAGGACTTTATGACCCATAGAATCATGGAATCATTGTGGCTGGAAAAGACCAATCATGATGGTTGGAAAAGTTCAAGATCATCGAGTTCAGCTGTATTCAGCTGTGTTCAGCCCCTCACCACCATACCTGCTCAACCACCATACCTGCTAAACCATGTCCCTAAGGGCCTCATCTGCAAGCTCCTTGAACACTTCCGGGGACAGTGACTCCTCCATTTCCCTGGGCAGCCTATTCCAATGCTTCACCACTCTTTCCATGTAGAATTTTTTTCCCAGTATCCCACCTGAACCTCCCGTTCAGGCCATTTCCTCTTGTCCTATCTATAGTTATTTGTTATTCCTATAGTTACAGGAAAAGGGACTGACCCCACCTCACTACAACCTCCTTTCAGGTAGTTCCAAGAACTTCATGGTCCCATTCCATGTTCTCATTTGCAAAAGTTGGTATATCCTAAAAATTGCCTCCCAAGAAACATTTTTCTTCTTTCATCTAGCTGAATTTCACTATCTTTTTTTTCCTAATAGAACYCCCATAGTTTTTTAGAGCTTCTTCTCTGTAAATCTTTCTCCATTGTTGGCCTCAATAGTCAGCATATGAATTTACTTCTTAAGCCAAACCAGCGATGTTTCTTCCTCTCAGGGAGTGTTCGGCCTCATATTAAGAGGTCTTACAGAAGTCCTACAAAGCAAAATTTTCATTCTGAAGGAGGGGAAAAAAAAAGAAAAAAAAAGTCTAGAATTCATTTGCAATGTAGAAGTAAGAGTTCAGTGCATAAGTTAGAACTAGTCACAAACTGACCTTAGAAATGATTTTGTTTTCAGAAACTCAGAGATTTTTCTGTTTTTAATTCCCAACAACTTTATAGTAAACAAAGAAACATAAAAGTACAACTTTAAAGACCAGTAAGATAATAGGTTTTCTTTTAATGTTTAATGCTTGTTTATTTTACTATCTTACAGAAGAAATCGGGGAAAAACTATGAGATTTAGTATTTTTAAATGAAGACATTTAAAAAAGCATTTGTCATAGGTAATTAATTATTTTAGCAGATTTTTAATGTTCCTACCGCTAAAAAATGCAATACTCACTATCACACACAATAGACTGCTATTCTATTTGAATGAAGGATGTGATTTCTTTATGTTGTTTTGGCAAAATAAAACTGAGTTGAACTCTGCTATGGAGCTATGTCAGTTTACATCAGGCTTTGACACTTTCCTAGGGAGCCACTGCAATTTGGAAACGATAAATCCATTTAAAGGAGTTCTCAATGAGCATATTCTCCTTGTTCCACCCTCCTTACTGCATCACTATGGATGCTTGTATGAAAACAGCATTTGAAAAGGCTGGAAAATGAGTACAAGAAATGCTCTTTGCAGATGAGACAGCTTGAGTATTTGCTGTCCCCCTCCAAGGTAATTCTTGGAGTGGTTTAGGCTGAGGCCATCTGAGATTTTATGAGGTTCCACTTCCCCAGGTACACTATTCAGCAGGACTGTGTGATCAGCCAGGCTCTTGGGGAGATCCAGACTTAGCGTTTTAGTTCACTGGTCCTGTATCTTCCCTTTCTCCCAGTATTTAGTGCAGTCCAGTCAGCTGTGCAATGCCTGAGTGAGATGGGGGAATCGAGGAGAATGATGTGGCTGAGACTGTGCGACCTCCAATGCTGTGCCCTGGTTGAGGAAACATGCTTCCCATTTCCCATGCAGGCTGCAGCCTGGCCTCTGGTTGCCCCTATGTGCGGCGGTATTTGCTCTTCAATGTATCCTTTACACTGCCAAGTGCAGCAAACGGGATGTGGATGTCGCCTGGGCCACTCACCCATCTGAGTATTTACAGGCTTTCAACTCCCTCGAGCGCACCTCCGTGCCTCTCAAAGGGGCTCTCTGAGAAGCACTTAGCCTAGACCTGTTCCCAAAACCCATCCCGAAGTTGCTGCTCATGCAAGACATACCTGCTTAGTAGGCGAAGGTGCTCCCTGGGAGGCCAATGCACCTGGATGCTGAGTTCCGTGCCCACTGCCAGCTGAATTCTCCATAAATGCCAAGGTGCTGCCTTCCATTTATTGCTGACATATTTTCTGGAGGGCTGAGAATACAGTTTGTGGTGTCACAACAAAGCTCTCCGTGCTCAGCGGTCTGGACTGACACTGTTACAGGAGGAGAAAGCAACAGAGCAGTCTCGGGTGGACTGCTTCAGTGGTCAGGAGCCATGAAAAGTTGGACCAAATTAAAAAAAAAAAAAAAAAGCATAGTTTTTCTTTTCTATTCTGGATAGATTTCAGAATAGGTTTTACTGAGTACTCAGATAGGCTTTGGGATATGGGCTTTACCTTTATCTTTCTGCATCAAGCATGTTTGAGTCAACATATAAACAAACTATACTACGTAGAGATGTCCTTGTGCTTTGCATTTCTATGCACTCTCTCTTGTTATCATTAGGTTGGACTAATAGCAGAAATCTCATAATAGATACTGAGTAGAAAAGGCAAATGCTTTCTCTTGACGTAGCCCACACCACCGGAAAACACAAAGCTGATGAAATCCTGCATTTCTGCACGGTTTTCCAGGGTCATTAGAGGGAGGGTGGTTTCACCCGCAGTTCTTCACGCGGTGTCTAGTCTCATCAGACCTCGCTCTGCGACTCCTCAGGCTGTCAAGCACTGTACTCAGGACTGCTCAGAGCACGTGGCGATGTTCACAGACACTCAGCCATGAACTGCAGACTCAAAGACAATAAACTCTCTCCTGG